AACGTTGTGTGTTACGTTATCAAGCATGGAATGATCACCTTGAAAGTGAAACTGTAACTACTAAATAATTTAACGTTGAAAGGTTACTTTGATTTAAATGTAATACATAAGTTGCTTCGATCATATCTAACAATGAACTGGTGCTGCGTGAACAGTTGTATGTAGAATTTTGTTAGATAGATGGAGACGTTTATAGGCATCATAGTGAAAGCCCAATACAAAAATGACGTATATCTGGGATAGGATTAACCTACAACGACAGTGGATTAAAAGTCAATTAGAATATGCCTCGGAATTCGGTGTCGTAAATGAACAGCACCTATCATTTAAAAGGCTGCAGTGTGAGCAGTGTAAATGTGAGGCACAGTGATATGTCAACACAAGACTTATTTTGATGTGGCCCCCAAAGAATACAGATCGAATGATATATATATATATATATATATATGGTGCCTCGTACCAATATTTATGTGTTCAAGTAAATAAATTAGTATTTTGATCCCTTCTTTCACAGGAAGACGATGGACACGAAAAACTTCGACATCTAGTGCTCCTTAATAATATACCTACTTTTTCCATTAGGAAATGAATGCATCAAGATGAACTAAATCATATGAAAGTATATGGGCAATTTAACAGGGGCTATGTTTTAATGCATGGTAGTCGTTAAGCTGATTATCAAAATATCTCATTCTCATGTTATCTGTATCACCAACCAAAGTTCACTTTTTTTCCTAGATGTACTTGTTTCTATACAATTTTTCTAGAATTCATTTACGGCGAATTCATCAGTCATACTTTACCACTAATCATGAGCTCGTGGATCACGTCATCCTTCAAACAAATTGAACAAAACAGACACCATCTTCAAGCATGTTATTATTTAGCAATGAATGCAATCGTCTGGACGTTAACTTTATTCACACCTGTCTCATAAAAAGACATTTAAATGTCCAACGCCCACACAATTTCCAATTCATAACGGAGGCGGGATATATGAGTTTGTTAGTTAAAGAGAGTCTGCCTGACATATAAATTTATATAAAAAGATAGACATGTGTCGTTAATAGAAATTTTTTAAAAAAAATTAACCAATCAAATTGTTCGTATGCACGTGTGATTAGATCGAGAACTAAATTAGAATTGGTCAACTAAGCCCATTAACAAGTATTGAATTATATGATTTGTGGTAAAAATATGTCTAATAATGTAATTTTAATAATTGTTTCCCGTTAAACGATTGGATTATGAGTTCAATTCTTAGCACATTTTTAATAGGTTCAATCATTTGATTGTTCATAATTATCCAACTGTTTGATTATTTTTTTTTTAAAGACGTATTTATAAAGATATCATTTCGATAAATGAACGTTTATTATAGTATTTCTTTAAATTAATGGTGGATTTTTGTTGCATTTAATTCATTTTATCCCGGATTATAAAAAAAAAATGGCACAAGTTGGTAGCCTAAATAATAATTCTTCCTTGTTTAATCACCATAATCTTGATCATGGTAATTCTAATTCATTATCAAAAATATTTCATCTACAACTTCCTGAATTAATTACTTCAACACAAATAAATCGATCAGCTCCATCGAGTGCATGTCCATCTGATGATTCTGGAATTGAAAGAACTTTGAATCTGAGTCCATCATCCCCATTTCCTGAAGATACTGATTCAGATGATGCTCAATCATTTATCAGCTTTGATGTCAGGCGTTCAGCTAGTCAGTTGCAGATGCCTCATCATCCGTTGAAATTGGGCCCTTGTCATTTCGGCTCTGCTGTTAATTATGTTGAGTCAGCCAGACTTTCGCCTCCAGGGACCTGTGCAGCAGTGGTCGACGATAATTACTATCCCATAGCAAGTCCTAAGTCAAATAAACCTGAAGTTAAAAGTGGGAATCGTTTTCAAATTTTATCATATGAACGAGTGACTAAGTTGCACTACGTTTTGTCGAAAACCATCCCGATCCATAGCAGATACCCAGGATTTCCAACTATTATGGTCAAACTCCATGATTTGTTTAGGGAAGTTCGGGGAAATCTTAAAGCAGCTGGGATTCCCATTCGAAATATTCGCCTAAACGGTGGTGCTGCCTCATATATTATTGGTAAGTATAGAACGTGTTAACCTGTACTAACCATTTATTTCACTGAATTTATACAAATACATCATTGTTGATTGATTAAAAGTTAATATTTCCATGTAACATCAACTATCATATCACGTTCTTGCTGAACATTTCAGTATTGGTAATAAGATAGCATTTGGTTTATTTTATCATATTTTCTGGTAAATCATTGGGATATTAATGGGTCATTTCAAATGATTTGTACATACACTTTCGATAGCATATCCAGTCTACTAAACTCTAGTACATGTATGTTTAATTTATTCTAAGCCTCCATAACTTGCCATTCTTCAAAAAATTAGTTTCACAGAAGAACCGTAGTTACGGAGCCAATTTGCCTAGTCAGTTCAGGTTGTTCTAAGTCATGTATATAATGTAGTTCTTCTAACATAATTCTCCAGAATCTTTTTGAATTAATATTTAATAACTGGGTAACGTAGTACAAAATTGATCAGTGACTCAATTGAATATTAATTTTTTTCTGTCTTGCAGATAGTTATTGTGGAGATTTTTGTTCTAAGAGTTTTTCTGATACTTTCGGATTGTTTGTTTTATTTGTGATTGAGAACTGAAAATGAGCAAAGCTTTACGAGGTTGGACTTAATTATGCCCTGGTGTTTGATCACCGACAACTGGTAAATGCAATAGTACTGCTTATTGGCAACAAATTCGTAAAGCAATGTTATACTCATAAGAGCATGGACATTCCAACAGTTTTTGCTGTAACAAATCGGTTTCGAGGTTGCTAATTTTCGTACGGCGATCGAGTTATGAAACAGCGAGTTTTAGTGTACTTGTTCCAGGTTAATTATTACTGATGATGCTAACTAAATGCATTCCATAATTCGAGTTCCCTGAAAAACCTTATCCTCTGAATTGTGTTATCGAGTTTCCTTTTGATACTTGTACATTTTTAGACAAATTAATCTCTTTTATCGTATTTCTTGTGTACCGGTCTGCTTTTCACCCTTGATATTCATTCACCTTGTTTTCTAATAGAATAAATCAGACAATGTTTTCCATTAGTTTTTTTACGTTCTGTGGTTATGTTTTACTCACTGGCGAGAAGGTATTGCCGATTTGTTGATTAGTCATCTGGTCGTAATAAACATGGTATCTGTCACAAATGTACGTTGTCCCACGTTAACATGCCGCATTATTAGGATAAGACGAAATCAAAAATGTGAATAGTAAGGGAATCGAAATAATATACTAGTAGTGAGATTGTGATTGTCTAAACATTATGAATATGGTTTGAAATAGAGAAATGAGAAGTTTTATGTGGAGTGGTGTAAGTCAACATCTAGGGTAAGATTGAGTGAAAGGTTGTACACCTCAGTCTTGCCACCTAATGTCTTCATCCACTGGTCGGATTTCTGATGCAAACTCAAATCATGCGGTCTAAATCTACATGAGTTAGATCGACAGCTATAGTTTTCATGATCTGATGTGATATTTTTCTGTTCCCACCCTGGTTGAGTGTAACACATATCCCATGACGAATTAAAATGTTAACCTGACGAATATATTAAAGTTACATTTTATGTTGAGCTTCCGGTTGATTATATGGAGTAAGAAATTGAAAATATGTCGAAATTATAACCCGATGAGTTCCTGTAGGTCTACACCGTAGGTCACTGTGGTAGCATTCAAGCGCATATATTGTCATGTTTTATGTTGATAAGACTTATGAGTTAAAGCTTAACATCAATGACAATAAAACATCAGGTTTATGTTCCTTCAGAACCCATATTCCATATGAATCGAACTAGTTGGGATGATTACATTATCCACTTACCTGTATTATCGTCCAAATATTATATATATCTTATTTATGGTACAAAAGCTAGTCCAATAACTGTGCTATGTGTTTCGCCTGCATAACTCAATTAATATACAGAGCTTTAGTAATAAACAACAGATTCATTAGTGCTTTTGACTATAAATTTTTGTTATTATATAGCACAAAATTGACATGACGTACAATATGATTGAATAATGATCCCATAATGCCACTTAAATAACGGTTATCTGTTTTTGAGAACCGGATTTTTATTTTTGAAGATATTGAATTTTCTCTGTAGTTTGTTAGATCTGATCTTTCTTAAAAATCCGAGTTAAGTTTATTCTTCCACTTAATAGTTTATGTCATCTTTCTGGTAGATCGACAATTTAATCAGGAGACTAAAATTCTATGGGTTCCAAAAATGAAAACAGCATTTGTTTTATTTTTCTTTGAAATTATCAAAGACGTGCAAACCATGAACCTAAAGCAAAATTCATTTAATCTACTGATTCCATAGAAGTTGAAAAGTCTCCTACTAACAGAAAAACGTTCTTGGATATAAATCGTAGATTTTTCAAAAACCAATTGATATTAGTTGTTAGTTATTTTCAGTATATAAAATATAAAACAATACTAGGTATTCTGATAGATGTTGCTAACTAAGTATAGATGGTAACTTGGTATAACTGTAATCCTTTATCCAAAGAGGTGTTGTATACATATGTTATTGGATTACTGAAATGGTTGTATTTTGGTGTTTAGTTCATGTAATAACGTAATAACGTGTAATGCATTCGAGTTTCGGCCACTAAGCTCCAGGTTCGCACTCTGTCCCACTCACTTCAATTTGGGTAGTTAATAAGTATCATTGGTCCTCACGCTGAGTGCTGCTCATACCCATGTAAATAGTGGATAAATGAATTAAAATAATTTCCTAAATACGAAATGTTTAGTATCTATTCTACTGCTATTCACTCTTAAAAGTTATCTTGATACGCAAATGATAGGTTCTGAAACAGTTTAGGCAGTCATAGAATCTATGACTTTATATTTCCAAGTGAATTCATATGGATCGTAGCATAACATAAATTCGGAAGTTTCGATTTCCACTGTCAAAAACATTTGCTATAAATAAAGCTTTTTAAAACCGAATTTCGGGATAAAAACTTGGTTTTTATCTTTTCATGTTGGTTCTTGTTTACGATTTAGCTGTATACGTTTAATTGTGTCACTGTTTTTTTATCTTGCAGATTGGTTTAAATGAGCATCTTTGGAATAGTTATTTTTTATAGTCTCTAGTTCAGACCCCCAAATGCCCTTGTATGTCTGAGGGTGGATAGAGTTAGATCTCCCTCTCAAAATGCTCTCACATGGCCACACGTATACAGTCACTCTGTTAGAGAAGTCCTATTCACTGCCTTTTTGCGGCACTACTGTTGCTTACGAAATCGAGAGGACGAAAAGTGAATGTCCGGTGCTTTAACCGGGTTTGTGGATATGGAGGATCTACCTAGGGGAGTTGAAAAACTCTGATTTCAAACTAATGATGAACATGGGCTCCAGGATCCTAAGGGAGCAAAGGCATATGCACTTGACGTTGCTCCACTGCCTTGTGGATTAGAACTTTGAGTCGAAAGCTCTGGGTATACGGCCCCCTAAGAAAACCACTTTTAGTTTGGGCACCCGGACAGTAGCCTAGACCTCACAAAAATCGATCGATTTATGTGGCGCATATCTATTTGGTGCCTCTTTGTACTAATGTTTATGTTTAAATAAATAAATGCTCTAATTAAGTTATAATTAAACGAATCACTGCATTATTCATTTTACGTTTACCACTAGCTAATTTGCTGGCAATTCAAGTCTAATGACACAGTGTATCATCACTAATTAGTTATTTAGTCTAATCAATAGTCTGTACTGATGAATCATTTTTCGCGGTCTTTTTAAGTACCACATTATGCTGTTATGTTAGAATAATGAATAGCATCGATAATTTATTTGCAAAGAAATCCTTTGTTCAAATAAGATACTATTAAAAGTCATTCAATCAGTCACCTATTTATTGAACCTATAAAACGAACACAAATCATGTACATAATATGCGTTATATAATCATTGGGTTGAAAGGATAATCATTCTCACTGGGAAAGATACATTAAGAATTGTACATATAACTATTAGTGTCTGCATTCAGTTGACTAACCGTTTAACAAAATGATGTATGTTTTCCTCTAGTATCGTGTATCTGATTTTTAGTACACCCAAATTTCTGTCAGTGCAATAATGACTAAGGAGCAGTAGCGTAGTATATAGGGTGTTCGACTTTCGACCAAGTTCAGAGTTTGAAACCTACTTCTACTGCCTCGGTTCGGGTAACCGGGTAGTGTTGTTAGTACGACTCATACCTAAGTACTTGACGAATGAGTTAATTATCGAACCGTTACCATTTAGATAGGTAAATTATATTAAGCCCAGTACAGTGTCACAATTATAATCTAGGGGTATTGCTTACTTTCTGTTAGTTCTGATAAGTTATTATGCATCATCTTTAGCTAAGAAATTAAAAACAAATTAGTTGTATTAATGATTGTTTAACACAAAGTTTTGTAATTAATGTGTATGCATTTTATCACGATACTACAGATTAGTTATTAAATTGATCCAAACCGAGAAAGGCTGTAAAACTTGGACCGAAAAGATGAGTGTGATATTTGGTAACAATGTTGGTCATTGCAAAGTTGGTTGGTTGGTTATTAATCCGTGAATGTACGTGCGCATCTTGTCGGTTAAACGGCATGGTTTGTCACATTTTAAAAATTTTCACTTGAAATAATCTATATTTCATTTCGTAGGAAAAAATAATAAAATGAGACTTGGTGAATATCAAATATTTTTAAATTAATGAGTAATCCTTTTTAATTGGAAGACTATCTTAAATATCATTGAGAAAGTGCAATTTCACTGAAAAAGATAGCTCTCGTCCACGACGACTTATGCTTTATATGTGATATTTTAATTGTATTCTCCGTAATATTATGTAGCTTGATTACGTCCTTTTCTCCTAATTTATAACAAATTTTATTCTTGACAGTTTCTACGTCGATTGTATCAACCATTATTGGTCAGTCGACAAAAATATTTCTGGGAAATTTAATAGTTTTTCTGCGAAATTGAGCATTCACAAAGATTCATGCAGTGAATTGATAAACCAAAACTTACACTTCTGTAACTAGAGTCCTACGAATTTCCTCTTAACTAATTAACGGGATATTATGGTGTAATTTAGTTATATTAAGTATTTACAAATGGTCATTCATTTAGAGGGAATACAAATCGTCTGCTTACTGAGATTAAGTAACTCCGTTTTTTAAACTCTTGGAAACCTACTAGCCATTCTTGTAGAGTCATATGAAAGGAGATTCTTTGATGAAGATATATGCTGATATAGAATTATTCTCTACATTTTCTGAAGCTTAAATTAATACTTTATTGGACCAATCTGTCGTTTGTGTAATTTTGAGGTGAACGTTCATACCTTCAAGTTATCTAATTCATTGCAAACAAAAATTGTTGAGAACAGTTGTTTCAGTGTCTTTCAATTTGCAATTTTACTATTAGATCGAAATGGCTATCAATTCTTGATATATTTACTCTTTTTTCCACCTTCCACTACCGTTTTTTATTCTGAACATATTTCGATCCCCATGTAACATTGTTTTTTTTGTTATCGTCAATTTAACTTGTTTCCACAATTATTTCGTGGTGAATTATTGATGTTTATTTTCAAATTTTGTGGTGAAAAGTTGGCAGTTCCAAACGGGAGTGGTAATGATTCGGTAGTCATCGGGCCAGCATTAGTCCTGCACACAAATGTTGCCTTTGATAGCATTTTGGTTTTTTTTTCACATACATTTGTGTCAATCAGTAGGGTTAAGCTGCGGTATAATTTTTGTAGTTTAAATTGTTGAGTAATGAAGCATTTAGTTAGCCTTTCTATACACTAATTTACAGCTCACCTGATATTAGTAATTGTTAATTGCCTATTAGATTTAGCTTCATGTAGTAACTAGTTCTGTTAAGTGGTTAACATTATGATTAGATGTCGAGTACTGGGTAAAGATGGCAAGTTGATTCATAAGTTTCAGAGCATTCATCGCTTAGTATAGTTAAGACGTATACTTTGCATGCCATCACCACCTGCTCGACTGCACAATGGTGGACAACATGGGGATAAATCAGAAAGTATTCTATTGTTGAGCAAATCAAGATGTGACATCAGTCCGATGATTCAAGCTGTGTCGTTAAGTTCAGACTGCTAATTTGGGGCTTGGCGTAATAACCGTTGCCCAAAATCGGAAATTTTGTGTGAATTGGCTCCAATTCGGTCATGGTGACATGGATACATCTATTTTTATCTTCCACCCTACCTTTTATTCGATCGTTTTATTTGTTGATTCTGAACCGAATTTACTATGTTTGGTTTGCCACCATAATCAATATTGTTAATTCTGCTGTTTTCTAGTTTATTCCTTCACTGCGTTAATACAAAATAAGTTGGACCGATAAATATTTCTAACTGGTTCTTTTTCTACAACTGACAATAAGCTTGGGAACTATTTAGTCATTTACTTATAGAAAATGTTGGCCACATTTTCAATGTGTGAACTCGTATTTAGGGGGATATTTACTTCAAAACAAGTGTTGCATTTACATACTGGATGTTCTGACATGAGGTTGATGATCCACTCACACTTTTCAGTCGTCATTGACGTGTTAATTTAGTCATCTGTTATTAGCGAACAATTAATCATCAGAAATTTAATGCTTTTTCGGCATTTATGATTTTTACTGTCTCTGTCGTACTATTACATACGTTAGATGAGGAATTTTAGTCTACTTGCTTAGGATTTCTTTATTCACAACTTTCAGTTGATCACATCAAAATTGTTAGTCCCATACATTGACTAAACAGTTCTATATATTTTTCTTGTAGATGGACTTCAGTGAGTTTTTAGTCAGGTGAATTAAGTATGAAACAATAAATGAAGCATTTCAGTTGAACTCAGTCTCATATTGGGGCGATAGTTAACACAAGACGACTATACAAACTCATCCAGGAAGCATGTATTGAAAATTCGGCTATTAGTTGAACTATTTCAGAAAAAGATGGAACTATCGTTCACTCTCAGTCAAGATGATTGTAGGAACGGGTGTAAACATTAAGAATCAGATCAACCGACCTCCAGTTATCTATTATTTTCAAATCCTCGGAACTTATATCGCTGTTGTGCAAAGAGTTACCACGACATTGTAGGTTTACTTAAGGTTGATGGTTCTGTCTTAACAGTAAAGCTAACTAAATCGCTAGTTGAAGTCTAGGAGCTAGAAGTAATCCGATCTCACTGGTTTTTACCATTATTCGTCTCAGTCTATGAAAAATTCCTCTTATCAAAATTCAAGAGGAGTCAATTTAAGTAACTAAAAAATGCGCTTCTATAGACATGATCAATGGCAGAATTACCAACATCCTAATACAGTTTTTATTATTTTATTTATTTATTTATTTGAACACATAAATATTGGTAAAAGAGGGCACCAAATATTTATGCGCCACATGAAAGATTTTTGAAGTGACAGATGGAGAGTGAATTTGTAGTACTTCATGAGAGTCTTGAATACGGGTTTCGAATAGAAAATAAACGTCGATATTAAGAATTCCTAAAGTCATCCAGCCCTATCTGTTGGCCGACCTGCATAAGTGTGCGAACGTTGAAGGTAGCCAGTTTGAATGGTGCACGTGGATTCAGAAAAAACTGCTTCAGTATTCGTATTTGGTGGTAGCATACAATTTTCAACCAGGCAGTGACCCGAGAACGTTTAGATAGAACCGAGTTTTCACCATAGGCGAGCTGTTGTATAAGTCAAAAAATAAGGATACATAAGGTGGGAATAAAAGAGAGTGAATAAATGACTTAAAAAATAATAACAATAATAGTAATAATAATAATGTGAATCGTTTGATTGTTGATCGAAGCAAGACAAGTATTTCCCATAAATATCGACATTTCATCATATTTGTGTGTGGGTTGTGATACTGCCCGGGTGCCCAGACCGAAGCAGGTGGTTTTCTTAGGGGGCCACCCCCGAGCCGTTGACCTAAAGGTCTGATCCACAAGGCAGTGGAGCATCGTGAGGAGATGCAGTCCCATGGTAGCCGGTGACCAACGATTGGTTCATACGCCATTTGTTCCCTCAGGATACTGGAGCCCATGTGCACCATTGGTTTGGTTCTCGTTTCGTCCTCTCATTTCCGTAAACAACACCCCCGCCACGAGAAGGCAGTGAGTAGGACTTCCCTGGCAGAGGCTGTGTACGCGTGGCCGTGTGAGAGCATTTCGAGAGGGAGGGCGAGCCCACCCCACTCTCGGCCATACCAGGGCATTTAGGGTTTTGTTACTTGATTTTGAAACAGCATTGAAATATGCCGGCCAAGTTTTGTGGAGGTAGTGGTCGGTACAGTGTATAATAAAGTACATAAACCTTGCAAATACATTTTACTCGGTCACTATTGGTTGAGTCTGAAATTGTTTCAGGCTATCGTCTAAGTTAGCAACCTCATATGGTGTTTGTCAGAGTTGTCCACTCTCCATTTCAATTTAATTTCATATATTTAGAATCGCATCGTTCTCAACTAATTTTTCAAAGATTAACCCCCTTTCTGGAAACTCACTTGTCACCATGGTGTAGTACAGATGTGACACATTCCTCTTAAATGAGTTCGCTAGCTAAAAGGAGTCTCGCGAACATCTTGAACAACAATAAAGACACATTTTTCCCCCAGATCCCAAGTGTTTTTTGGTTTACACCGTTGGATATTGTACAGAGTGAGTACGGTTGTTAGTCGGACTCACCGACCACTTTACTTATCTTATCGGCCTTAGGGGTGTTCATCTGATAACCAGGATCAGTAGTCAAAGACTTGGATTGACCACCAAGAATTTGTTTCAGTGAAACTGATCTATTTACCTTTTATCTTCCATTAGATCCTGATTTTTATTATTCATAAATACCTTCGTCTCATTCTTTCTCGAACCATGTGCACAACGATTTGTGCTTTGTACCATCATCGATAGTATTATTTTGTTTCCTTTGAAATATATCTTGTTAATTACGTCTCTTTGTGCATATGGGGTTTGTAATCTGAACAGACACTGGCCCTTTGTTTATGACTAACTGCTTGTATGTCCTATAGGACTGTGTTTTACATCAGAAACATGTATAATATTATTTTCATGAGTGTTCCTAAAGAATTATTCTATTTCATAACTTGACCAAATTAGACGTTTCTTCTGTTCATATTTTGTTTGTGAAAACTCAATTTCCGTGCGTATTTTTCATGTTGCTATATGACACTAAGACACTGTCGTCTAACCTAAAGGATTTAAAGCTTTCTGAATGTTTGTTTTCCAGCTATCACAAAAACATCTAAACACTATTAATCGTAGTCACTGTCAAAATGTTCACGTGCTCCTTGACCTTTCTCATAGTGTAGATATTCTCAGTTGCACTACAGCTTTTGTTCATGCAGCTGTCCGACCTATCTTCATTTGATGGGCCTCTAGATGAGCCTATGTTAATCTGTGGAAAAAAGATTGCTTCTCCTCACTATAGGTTTGGAGAGATTATTGAATTTGAGATCACCGGTCGATTCAAATTACATAACCATTTAAAACCTGAATGCACTGGACGGTCATTTTGTTTTATTATGGAACTCCTCTGTAGTGCACATCTACGATCCACGAACGGGAATCGGGCATAGGACCTTCCTTCGCGCGCACGAACACTTGAACTCTAGACTGCAAATTTGGCATCTAACGTGGTTAGTGTCTAACTTCAATCCATGCACGAAATTTCACAACCGTCTTCCATTGTCTTTGATGAGTAACTACCTCACACTTGTCTCAGTCGAACTCGATTGGTCACATCTCACTAAAACTGGAAATTTTCTTGTTTTTTTACTTAGGCTACAATAAAATAGCTCGAATTAAAGTTCATTTCGTAATAGGGTTTTTAAAACTTATCATTGAAATTGACCGACTTATAATTGCAGTTATCATTAATTTTATTTGCCTTGTCAGATTAATTCTATGATAATTTCATTTTTCATTTTATCCAGGACAAGAAGATTATCCCGTCTATAATGATATAGATGTTTTGATATCTGTTGATTTAAGCTCAAATAGTTCAACATTTCAAAAAGTGAAATCAGCTGTGCTGAATGCGTTGATAAGTTTCTTGCCAGAAGACAAAATAATAGAACCCTTTCAGCAGCATAATATTCCCAGTCAACCTCAAATTAACCCATGTTGTGATCTCCAATCTCACGATAATGTTCCAAAAGTACCAGGACGTGGTCAAGGAATGTCACTTAACAGTTCACCTGTAACAACTAAGAGTCATTTCAGTTCTACGGAGTTGAGGCATATTGATAAGGTGAAAGTGAACAATACAATAAATTCGAATTCTACTGAAACAGAATTTGATAAAACTGTTGAACTTAAACGCATGGGCGATATCACTCAGAATCAATGTGGTGTTCCGACGCTTGGTATCTCACGTCCCAACATTGTTGAGTGTTCCTGTCAAAGGCAATGGAATAATCCTAAACCGATATCTTTCTCTCCTTTATCCTTTATGCATCCAGGGCAGCAGTCTATCTACAATATTCATTCCCCATTCAACACTCTTAATGTAAACGCTATGAACAGTATTCAAAGTTCTGCTTCTGCTCCTAATATTTCTAGCCATTCAGATGGATTTAGTTTACGCGAGTCATATGTGTACAAACAGTTCCGTAAATTTAGTCAAGATGATGATTGTTGGTCACTTTTATCCCTTGGTTTCCCTTCTTCCGACTCAAAAGTAATTGAATTCAAATTTGTTGATCGAATGAAACGTCAGTTTGAATTTACCGTTGATAGTTTTCAAATAGTTTTAGATTCTTTGTTAACATTTTATGAATCCAATTCAGGAAAAAGCATAACTCCACACTTTTATCCGACAATTGTTGCTGAATCAGTATCTGGATCGTTTTCAGAAGCATTTTATCACTTAGAGAATAAACTAATTGCAACCACTGAACCAGAAATGATTCGTGGAGGTGGTCTTTTGAAATACTGTCGACTTCTGGTTAGTGGATATAAACCTGCTGAAGGAGTTGACGTATATACACTTGAAAGATACATGAGTTCCAGATTTTTTATTGATTTTCAAGATTTATCCAGCCAAAAAGTTAAATTAGAAGCTTTTTTAGCGAATCATTTTGCAGAGCATGAAATTTCTTTAAAAATCAATTATTTACGCATTTTATATCAAGTTGTAAGTGGTTCCACTATATGTCTTATGTCTCATGAACATTTTCAAACTTTAAATCTTATCGGAGAACTGTTACGCTATCTTATGTATTATTATTGTTATTACCATTTTAATCGTTCATCTTTAAGTTTGGAATGGTTTGCTGAAAAACAAAATCTTGTTCTAGATAAAATTTATTTTGGTACACAGCTTTTTCCTGTAATTTCAAGAAGTGAATCTTATTCAAAAAATTGTTTTTGTTTTTACAAGCATAATAAATCATCAACTGATCTTTCTATGATTCCTCTGAATGTTGCTAAATTTTCATCAACAAATTCTAATTGTAATTCTACTAAAATCTTTTCATCAACCAAGTCTACATTTGACACAGATAATGATCCTATCAGTGATAACATTTTAGAAGAAAAAACAAATGAATTGAAATTGGACTTGCGTACAGAGTGTAACGAATCATCATCAACTGACTGATTAACTGTATGAGACTATAATGTTTAAATCAGCTTTAAAAAACTGTGTTTATGTACTTCATTGAAATTGTTCTGTTCTATGCAAACTGTTGTTATCTACATACTGTTTTGTATGTTGGTGTGTTTATGTATATGTGTAGGTTCACATTGATGTATGTTTTCATCAATTATAGAGTAATTTTGTATTATTTTATTTTATTTTACTGTTTGTGTTGTCTTATTCATATATTGTCTGTCGATAAAATACATAAACAGAATAACCTGTTTTGTTCAACTTTGTTTCATACTCATTCATATAATAATACGCATTTACTGATTGTACGCATATATGTGATGAAAATGCAAGTAACATAATCGGTTTAATTTTCATAGATTATAATTGTTCGAATACGAAATTCAATTCCACGAAATAGTGAATTTATTAGCGGAGAAAATGTTTATCAATGTCATGATTCATTGCAAACACAAGAAAACGAAGTGACATGAAAAAATAACACTGGAAAACAAAAAAATTCAACCCGGTGATGGGTGTATTGTAATTATTTGTCTCTATATGTTTGTGTATTTCCGAATTGTGTTAATCTCTATTTGCACCCTCCTTGTGTTCTTTTTCTTTTGTCTTTCATCGTTGTTTCTATGTTGAATCTTTATTTCTTGTACAAAAATATTCTCTGGGTCTGTGTATCTGTATTAAATATTCAATACAAAACTAATACTAATGTTACTGCAAATAACAAACGGATGTGTTGTGAATCAGAAATTCTTGCTTGCACACACGTACCGCTCTCAGTATCTGTCACAAATCTCCAGTATTGTTTGTATTGAGCTCTGTTCTCTTTCCGAAAGCTTCTCTGCTTCATTAACATGAATACTTTTTTAGCCATTATTTTTTTACTCCATGAAGATCGTCAATTAAGTCTTACGAATATGTGTATTCACGTTTGAAATATGACTGATTTTCAAAGCGGCTTTGTTCTCTATTTACATTTTCTGTAGTCTGTTTATCATCAGTATTCCAGACTAATTGGAAAGGATTATTCAATTGTTTCCGTCTTTAATTAATCAAGACATTAACTCTCAATCGTCTCATGCAATAATAATGTATGAACATGAATAAGTATTCAAGAAATTCCTTAGCCATGTATTATAGTTAAAATGCATCTGTTATTATTTCATGGTTGGTCTAGTTGATCGTCTTGTTTGTAATAATTGTTTCGTATACTCAACATGCCCTCCCTCTACAATACACAACCATCTCTTTTTACATCCATGTAAGTATTAATTTCCAGTGGATATTTTTCTTAGCTACATGAATACATGTCTTATCAAAAGAGAAATTATTTTATCGATGACATCTCTTAATATGGATATCCGTACAAAATGATGCAGCTGTTCTCTCTACATATATGGATTGTACACATCAAAAACATTCATTTACTTTAACTGGTTTCTGAATCTATTACTGTTATCATTACCATTATTACTACTATTACTATTTATTACATAACATATTGTTTTCTGTTTGTAATTTGTCTGTAATCTATTTTGTCCTTGTGGTGATTATCATTCTAAATTAATCGATCAAAAAATAACCATATTTGTATTTGTCTATTGTTTATTTTGTGTGTTTATGTGTTTGTGGTTGATATTGCCACCGTTATTGTCAAAATAATAATAATAATACTTATTGTTACTACTTCTGCTAATCTATCATCACTACTACGATTATTATGAGTACACCAGATTCTCTGACAATCTTTTTTTTTTCAAAATGAGGCAAAAATCGCCCATATTTATTATCAATATTATTTGAAAAAAAGAAATAATAAAGTGATCTAATTACTTATTTTTCAAAATAAATACATTCTCCTGTAAATACTAAATCATTCAAGTTCATGATAATCATAGCGTGTTGATTATCATGTTTATTTTGTTTCGTAGAATTCTCGATTAGTCTAGATTGATCAAAATAAGCATTCACACTTTTAGGATACCTAACTGTCTAATCGCTTAAGACATATTGTGTTTTGTTAATGTACAAAGACTATACCATATTTCACACTGTTTATTTATTGGGATTTGATACTATTCTCTTTAATTTGACGCAATATTTTAGTCTTCTATGTAGTATTTCACAAAATGGTGATTTACGTGGTTTCCTCGATTATCATTGTGTCTTGTTGGTCCACTTTTACCAATGTCAATTATTTAAAGTATATAAAATGCTTCTGGTTTGTGATGGTAATTTCCAGTACTGTTTTTAACAACCAAGGCATGGAATTTATTCGCTAACTAAGCTCCCTCCATTCGTTCGGTTTTGTGTCTGACCGTCAAGTGGATTTAAGACATCTAAGTGGTTTTATCTTACTACAGTTATCCATCTAACTGTTTTTGTTGCGTTGCGATCCTATCCAATATTAATATTTATTGTTTAATTGTTTCAACTGACAGGTTATATTCATTTGCTGTACTCTCTTCCCATTTGCTGCTATTACTTGGTATTTGATGGCTATAGAAAAGCAACCATTGTTATACGTCCGTCTACTTTATTTTTACATGTACATTCATGTTCTCACTAACCGTGTTCGTCACTCAATTTTATCAGATCATTATCTATCAGGTTTGACATCTTGCTAGAACCATTACTGATTATCATCAGAACTACGGTTAATAGATGTTCACTAAATTTTTGACAAACTGTAAACTTGAACGGAACGTAAATGATTATCAACTTCTGTTCTATAGAGTTTCATCAGCTACCCTTGTATCTAGAAATAGTGTTAATATTCTGAGACTGATTTTTGTAAGTCTTATTTCCTCTGATAGGAACATGATATTATATGTTTTGACAAACTTTACATCTCATATTAGTAGAATCGTAAACTCAGCGCCAGCTGTTCACAATGAAATATTAGATACTTTTTAACTTAATAGTTGATCTTTCTCATATTACAGTATTTAAGGGGACGAACCTATCCGGTCCAATGTGAATTAACTTGTTTAGCTGACTATGAAAGCTCTATATGTTCTACTTCTCATCACGCAAATACAAAACCATGAACAATTTCGATGTGAAGTGTAGTATTTGAATTATCTCGTTGATAGTTTGACTACATTTTTTATCAGCCTTAGTTGTCATATGTGCATTCTATGCAGATTACCCCGATATAACCATTATGACACAGTTTGATATAGAATGAATAGAATATGACCAGGATGCGCGTTTCCTTCTCTTTGCAACTTATCGGCTGGATATCGGAGTTGATGTCCACCTCTGGTTTCGAATGCAACATCTTAAGCTCCAGACTTCAAAATATTATTTGGACCCAGTAGCTGAATGAATAACTTGTTGATATTTTAAATCAAATGTATTGTATTTGAATTGCGTAGTAAATATCAATTCTGGGATGCATGTAAATACAACTAACGTGTCCGAATTAGGAAAAATCGTATATCCTGAATTCCACCGCTAGTCATATTCAATCTACTCTATATGAATTATCTTTGTTTACTGTACACACTTCAAGCCATTGTCTACATCAGTTATGATAATATTGATTGCTTTCTATTCATTGATATTTAATCAATCTTTTGGTGGATACAGGCTACTTACCTGTATCACTATCGAATAAACATATTTCAAACCTAACGTCAAGTCTAAATAAAAGCGAATAAATGCTGAAGTATTCATTGGTTGGGTGATTTGTTAGTTTTAGATTTAAAATGAATCTATTCACATTTAATTTATCCCGCATAAAATGTGTCCAATTCAGCGTAGGAATTAAATGAATGTGAATTGATGACGATAACAGATTGTTTGACGTCAAAATCACTCAAAATTATGGTTCGTTATTAAACAAATTGTTATTGGTGTTATTATACTTTGTTGAATTGTGTACACTAAGCCAAAAGTTGAATGAATATGAAGCTCATACGCATTATTATATTTATTTCAGTCAGAAACACTAAATTTACAGTTAAATTTCATTAAAAACGTCAACCGATATGAGCTAAACGTCCACTTAGAACCTGGTGACATTGGACTGCCGTTTCGTCTTTTTATAGGTCTCCTCAGCAGTGCACATTCATGATAAGCGGCAATCCAACCCAGGACCTTCAGTCTTTGATGCGAACACTTAATCTCTAGAAAAATAAGTTGGCATTCAACAGTGTTAATGTTTAACTTCAATCAGTCCACGTCTAGCTTAGATAAGTTCATGGTATCAAAGAAATCCAACAACTCCCACAACCCATCACTGACAATATTCATTTAAATTATGACAATTTATTCATTTAAAATCAATTAATCCATTTTGATAAATTTGGGCAATGCAATAAGAGGTACTTTATCAAAGATTGAAGTTCTCATGTATGTGTTTAAAAATAGTTTGTTCCCACCTTGAATCTAATCATAATATTGGTTTATTTTATCCAATGTGATGTTGTTCACATGGTGTCCAGTAAGAATTTGGTGTACTGACGAACTTAAAACAACTGCGAAGAATCTTCAGCCAATTAGGAGGGTTTTTGTATGTAGATAGTTTATGGGAAAGGAAACAATGATAGTATATGTAAACAGATTTTACCTATTTAATTAATCTTTTAGTTTTCTACATATTTCTTTCCTTTTAAATTGTATAGATACTGAGTATTAAACTTATCCCTATTAACATAAGACTTTCCATTTTCTCGACACCTTATATGTACTTAACAGACTTATAATAATCTCTACAATGTTCTTGATTAAGTTTAGGTTTTCATCACGAACTAATATCAGTCACAATGCGAAACTGCTATGTAGCCGTAATGTTGGATAAATTCTGTACAGAAGTGAAAGAAACACTATCCGATTAGTTCGTTCATAAAATATAGTGCCACCAGATTAAGGATTGTTGCAGGATATAAAATGTCAGATTCTTTAATTCGAGGTGTTGTCATGCCTTTTTTGTTGATCGAACTAAAATCTCACTGACGATAACATAAATGTTACTTTATTAAGGAAATCATTTGCAACTATGTAACATCTACAAATGTTTTACAATCAATAATGTTTTTTTTGTTTTTCTAATTTATAAATAATACTAACTCGAAAATTGAATATACCTTGTTCATAAATGTAAGTTAACCTAGGAAGTTGACACCCACGTTTAAGAATATCCAAAGGGTGAAATACTGTCACATGTTTGAATTGCACATATCACTTCAGGTTGTTTTTTTTCAAGCCTGTCAACAATCATTATGAACTAACTTCATTCTTTAAAATTAACCCTTTTGAAGTTGGTTAGAAATTAATTACAACTATGAAATAAATCATTAAACAACATTATTGTAATAAAATATCATTACTAGTTCCTTATTCACATTTTCTAACTTGTGATATTTTTTTCAGGATAATGTTTGAAATATAACTACTATAAATTCTAATATAAGTGAATTAATGTTCATTTCATTGCATAAGCCAGTGATTATTTGAATTGAGTAACTAAGTAGATAACGCGATGACGTTTGAAGAGAACGGTGATGGATTCAAGTCCCACAATGAACATCAATCCTGAGACGAAGGTACATCCACTTGATGATATTTTTGATGATATATTTTATAGAAATTTCGATCCTAAAATTAGAGTTTACGATATCTTTAGTTGAAAATGTCTAGGTCAAAATGGAATAATAACTTTATCATCGTTTCTAATATATGGTCTTTTTAATTCTAGTTGATAATCCGATAGATAGAAAGAAAATTTGTATGCTTTGATTTTTTTATAAATATTAATATATTTTAATTTCAGGATCATATTCTAGGTCATCCATAACCTTATCATCTTAACCAAGGTGTTTGTGTAACATCATTACATCAGCATGAAAAATCATTCATAGACCGTATTTACAACATATCACAAATTGATTTTAGTTTAAATAGTACAATTGTTCGCTCAAATATCCTGTTTTTGAATATTCTAGGGGGGATTTTTAAACCGTTAAAATGGTACTATTGAACTCCGACCCAGTCGTTCTAACGTTAAGTGTTCACTGAGAATCTAAAGTTCCTAGAACGGATTATCTTTCTAGTTCATTGTGATTCTTAATGATATACCAAATGTGATCACTTTATGAATAATACGATTTACAAATTAGGCCGATTTTCACAAAACCTTTCAAATAAATTATTATTCATTTAGACTTCAATTCGATCATTCATTAAAACCTACAAAGAATACATTGATTGGTAACTATTGTAGTTTAGTTTCAATCTACTTATCTTAAATGTTAACAAACATTCATTTTCTTAAAATTCATCTTAAAAGTTCATGTAATCATTGCTTACATTCTAACATTAATATAGACTAGATATTTAATATGAACTCTTCTAGACCATATGATCACACTGTTGAAATCATCTGAAAAATATTCAAATAATTTTTTTTTCTTTCAGTAAACTAATTTTAATGATTTATTATGTGTGAAAATGTTTTTCTCAATCTGTATAAATGAAAATAGTGAACTATTTTACGACATTGAAGAAACTACATACATAGTGGTATATCTTTTGTATACAAACATTTATTTCACAATGATAAGTATATTTATAAATAATTGTGTATTATAAACTGAAACTCGGTTTCAAGGAATCAATAATAACCTCGAAATAAACAATAACAGTTTTGATTTTGTATATATCCGATGTAAAAGGTATCTAGCGCTTCCTGAATGCCAATAATTATCTAACTAACCGCCATGTTGTAAACTATGAAGATTAAATTAATATTCCACAAATCACCTATACTAAGAAACTAATCATTAAAGGGTACGAATCATTCAAGAACGAATATACCAAATGTAAGAACAAGTGTATATGGGTAACGGATGCGAAATAATTAAAGCTAACGACTTTAGAGAAGGTAAACATGTTTCCAGTTATTGGAATAATAAAAATATCACAAATGCTTTTTGACAACAAAGATAAGAGCTGGTTGGGATTATCACTGCTTATCTTGTGTGTGGTAAACAACGGGGTTTAACCTAACTAAGACTTACTATAGACACGACCTTGGGGATTTTGTTTTTGTGCATCAATATGTCGTCACCATTGCCTAAATGCCGTAAAAACGAATTCCCTACTAACGATATTTTATCGTGTTCTGAACTATGAAATCGTTGGCGTACTCGCCATAACTATTGTTTCATTGCTAGACAAGCTTGTAAATACATATTGAGTTGTAAGATCTAGCTACCATTTTGTGTATCAGTAACCATATTCCTGTAACCAGGACCTGTCAAAATGGACAACATATAATTTGAATAAAAATAAGAATTCAGCGGAGAAAATTTTCCTTTCGACGAAATCATTACCTTAAACAAGTTTTCTTGATTATTATTCAGTTTTCAATATTATGACTTTTATGTTCAATTTCAATTAAATAACACCATATACCGTCAAATTGATGGTGTAGCAATGGAAGGTCTAATAGGTCCACTTATCGAAGATATTTTTATGGGGTATCTTGAAAACACGGCGCTTAAATAAGCGATTAGTGAAACG